CAGGGGTGGGTGGGGAGGTGGCGGCTCAGAATGTTAAGCTGTGGGAAGGGTCCTAGGGAGCCCAGGCCGTGGGCCAGCTCCCAGGCTCCAAGGGTAGGGGCCTCCCCACATCCTCTCCTCAAACCCCCAAACCTATTGTGCAGTCTCAGGAAGGTACCTGGGATGGAACCCCCACCGTGTCATGCATCCAGGCTCTCAAGTCCATGCACTTTGTCTGCAGGATGCCTACGACATCAGCCAACTGCGCCACCCCTCAGAGCTGGCAGCCCTGGGCGCCCCTCTGGGACGACCACCGCTGCGCCGAGACACCCCATTCAGCCGGGTGCGCCCCCCACCATCCCGCACGCTGCCCACCAGCCCAGCGGACATGGCCGACTTCATCAACGAGGTATATCCCGCAGGGGTTGAGAGGGCAGGGGGCACACATGTGCATGCATGCATACACACACCACATACAAGTGCGTTCCTGTACCCCTGTACATGCACAGCCCCAGGGAGTGGGCGCACTACTGGGGACCCTGGCTAAGCTTCTAGGAAGCTCCTGAGGAACTGAGAGCTGAGTGAGGCTTGGGGAACAGAGAGCCACAGCGCTCAAGCCCTGAGGGAAGAGGAGGTTGGTGACCCCTGCACAGGATCACAGCAGACCTAGTTGAGCCTGGGTTGGTCAGAGACTGCCTTGCAGCACTGCCCACCCACCAATGGCAGAGGAAACTTAATGACCCCTGCAGGTAGAAGTGCAGCTGTCAGCTGAACCCAGGCATCCAACAGTAGCTCCCCTGGACACAGCATCAGTGACTTCCTGAGATCAACACAGGAGATGCCCAGAACATGGAAAATCCAATTGAGTGGGCAACGGGGGGAGCATGCAGCTACTCAGTAGTGTGCCAGGTGCCACACCTGCCTGCACACTTAGTGCCCTGGCTTGTAGTTTCGCCTCTGACAGAGGCCTAGTGAGGGCAGGCCCAAGTGCAGGTTCTAGTTAGGAGGTATGCAACCCTGCAGGAGCCCATGTGTACAATGACAATGACATGCACAGGTGGAGGCAACAGACCAATGGCCAAACGTTTAAGAGACAGAACCAGCTGTTCTTCCAGATGGGGTGTCAGGAAGCCTTAGGCAGGACACAGTCTTCAGGGAGGGGTGGGCCCAAGGAAGGAGAGCAGCCCAGAGGGAACCTTCTCTTTTCAAATCTGAATCCTGGGACTGGGGCTCCCAATGGTGCCCCCACACTCAGGGCTGCTCCTCAAACCCCCAGTAACCCTCACACCCCCTCTGTCCCTTCCTGGTGCCATACCTTGGGTTGACCTCGCCCTGTGCTGCAGCTGGGTTCTGAACTCCTGGGGCCTCTCTGTAGGGCTTGGAGGCTGCGGATAGTGACCTCAGCGTCCCACCTTATGACACTGCTCTCATCTATGACTACGAAGGAGACGGGTCCATGGCAGGGACACTGAGCTCCATCCTGTCCAGCCTGGGCGATGAGGACCAAGACTACAGTTGCCTCCAGGACTGGGGCCCTCGCTTCGCCCGGCTAGCAGACTTGTACGGCGCCCCCTGAGGGCCGGAGTGAGGGCCAGATGCAATGGCCACTCAGGACAGGGAAGAGTGCTTTCTGATGGGGACCGGCACCCACCCTGCTGAGGGCACAGCTCCTGGACACAGAGAGTGGACATTCTTACCAGGATGGACAGCCTGACCACAGAGGTCCAACTGGACATGCCAACAACTGGCCATGTAGCGTGGAGGACCAGATGACCTGTGCAGAGGTGGCCTCAGGGCACCTCACCACACACCCAGGGGCTTTGGGCAGCCTGCTTCTCCCAGGGGAAGACAGAGTCCCAGGGGCAGAACCCAGAGCCTGGAGTAGAGCTGTGCGAAGGCGGTGCCCCTCCCATCCCCAAGGGCCCAAAAAGTACTATGCTGAATCACCTGTGAAGGGGTCAGCCACCCTCATTCCTAGCTCCGCCTTCCCCCATGCAGAGTTCATCTTTGTATGAAAGGAAGCAGCTCTCCGGCAAGTGTGAATTAAACATGTGCTGTCTTTCTAGTGTGGGGTCTGCACAGTGACCTGCAGGTCACTCCACCCCAGTCCAGCCAGGGCTGCAGCAGGGAACTGGCCTCCCGGGGAGTGGGGTGGGAGGGGCTGCAGGCGCCCTGCCTTGGGTGAGCCTGGAGTGGGGAGCCCCCTCCAGCCCCAGGATGGGACCTGAGGGAAGAGCCAGTGAGGATGTCAAGTTCCGTGGACGCCTTTATCTTTCACAAGTGGTGGTTGGGGGTGGGGAGGCTGGGGCCCCCAGGAACAAGGGGCCCAACTGGGGATTTCCCCTTCACGTGGACCCCACAGCTCCACCCTGAGACCCCTCTGCCCACACTGACATGTGGCCATCTGAGGGGTGGTGTGTCTGTCCAGCCAGAGTCACCCTTCCTGGACCAGTTGTGTCTGGGCCCAGCAGTGGGAGGGTGGCAGCAGGGGCAGGTGGTCCTGGCAGGGGCGGCCCCGAAGGAGTGGCGATCGGCGCAGGCGGTCAGCATCCTGCAGTGACTGGGGCAGCCCACGTCCACGGCTCTCAGGCAGCAGCAGGACACATAACAGGGCAAGGATGGCGAAAGAGGCAAAAACCACGTGTAGCAGGAAGAAGCCCCGCCGGCCGTGCATGTCAGCGAGGGGGGCGGCTGCCTGGCCCAGGAATCCGGCACCCAGCACAAGGCCCAGCCCTGCTCCCCTGCAGGAGAGGGTAGCATGGGAAGCCTGGGCAGGTGACCACCCTCTCAGACAGATGGACATGTGGGCACAGCATGTGACTTGCAGTGCCGCCAGGCAGGTCCACCTCTAGGGAGGAGCCAGCAGAACCAGAGGTGTGGGGACTCCAGGAAAACAAAACTGAAAACAATTTTGTGGAAAAGCTGCTCCTCCCTACCCTGAAACAAGTTTTTGTTCTTTTCATTAGAAAATTGGAATTCTGCCCTCTCTGGGGGCTGTCTCATTTCTGCCCCTCCCTCAGACCTCCATCTCCTCACCCTCCATTCCTGACCTTTCTGTGCCAATGTCCCCCAGGTCACCCAGGAAAAGACAATCTGAACTCCAGTTGTGATGGAGTGGAGAAGTCTTGGGCATAAGCTGGGGAGGGTGGGGTTGGGGGTGTCCAATCCCAAGAGGGCTCTGGGGGCTGGGCTGGCAGGACTTTGTGTCCTGCCGTGTGGCTGGGCAGCCCAAAGCTCACCTGATCACTGTGGGGAAGATCTCGGCCGCAAAGAGGCTGCTGAGGGTGGACACGGCCTGGGAGGCCAGGAGCCCCAGGACAGAGAGGGACAGCACAGTCCAGCCTGGCAGGTCTGGGCATGAGAGAGGGAGCCCATGCTGCCCACGTCAGACTTCTCCAGGGCCCTCCCCTTGTCCATGTCTCAGGGGTCCTGCTGAGCATGGCCTCCCCAACCTTTCACTCCTGCACCTGCACTCCAGGTTTGGCATCAGGTGTTCCACGCTGCCCCCATCCAGACCAGACCCTCATAGTTAGCCCCTTCATGTACATGCTTTTAGCCCTTTAACTCTTTGGGCCTCTGTTTCTCTGGGTGCACCATAGGAAGATGAACAAGGTAAAAAGAACAGCAGCCTCATCCCAACACACTGTGCTTTTCTCTTGTGACCCCAGGAGGGGGCTGACCCCAGGGCCCTCCTACTTCATTGGGCTGACTTCAGCCCAACAGGATGACCCCGTTAGCCTGCAGGGCTCTGCACTCACACTGGACCCCTGAGAGAATCAGCAGGGATGCCAGGCCCATGACCAAGGTGCCCAGCAGCAGGACCAGGCGGCGCCCCCAGCGATCCACTGTCAGGAGCAGGAAGATGGTGGCAGCCACCTCTAGGCCAGCCCCCAGGAAATAGGGTCCGTAGAATTCCTGCTCACGAGCGGCCAGCCTTAGGAAGAAGCTGGCTCTCATGCCCCCACCGACCAACCTGGGAGGGAGGGCAAAGCTGTGGATTCAGCCAGAGCTGGGGACTCTGGCGACCAAAGCCCCAAAAGGGGCAGGGCTGGTGGGGGCCCCACAAACCCCTCTCTTAGCCCACCCACACCCTCCCCTCCTCACGAACTGAAGCCCAGGATGAGTCCGTTCCTCCAGGTGATGCTGGTATGCCGAAGCTCCAGGATGCTGTGGCACCGGGGCTGGGGGCTCCTTGCAGACAGCACATCTAGCTCTATGGATATGAGAGAACATGAGGGGTGCATATGTACAGGTGACACCTTTCATCCTTCAGCACCCGGGCCTCCTTTATCCTGGCTGCTGTGTTACCCGTAGCTAGGGAGCTCTCCTCCTCAGAGCTGTTCTCAGGGTCCACACCGCTGGCTTCGGCAAAATGCCATAAGAGCTTCCTGGCTTGGGCCAGCTGCCCCGTGGCCAGCAGCCAGCAGGGAGACTCAGGGAATAGGGCTGGGAACCTGCAGGGGTGGGGTGAGGATGCATTCAGGTCCTCCATACAGCAGAGGGATAACAGAGGCCAATGCCCTTCCTCCCTGGACCTGGGGTCAGGACATCAAGTGGCTTTCTGTGTCCCTGTCCCATATCCATGTCCCTGGTGCTGCACAGAGGTGTAGAGGGAAGTGACACTTGTGGCCTCCATGGAGGCTGCTGCCCTGTCTCCCACCACACTTACCCCCAAAAGAGCAGCAGGAGTCCTATTGCCAGGGTGCTTAGCCCCTGCAGAAGGCGCCAGTCCTGTGTGAGCAGGGCCAGGCCGGGCAACAGCAGAGTGCCCACCACCGAGAAGAGGTTGGCCCCCACAGAGAACGCCAGGCGGTGTGGGGGATCACACAGCTCCAGGCCTGAGCAGACACAGACAGCTTGAGGTCGAGTCCTCTAGAGAGAGCTGCTCTGTCCAGGGCTATGGGGACCAACTGCTAACCTGTCCAGCAGCTGGACATCTGAGGCCAACTCATTGCCCACTCTAGCACCTGAACCAGCCCACAAACAGTGGAGCTCACACAGCAAACAGTGCCCTCCCATCTTCTCAAGAAGAACCCTCAGCAGGAGTACAGAGAGTCCTCCCATGCCACTGAAGACCCCCTCCAGTGGTGCTGGAGGCCTAGCCTGAGTAGGCGCCCCTCTCCAGTCTCCTATGGTACTCACGAGTCACGTAGAGGGCTAGAGAGGCCCCTGCCAAGGACCCCCCGTGCAGCAGCCGCAGGGCCAGCAGGGCAGGAAAGCTGGCAGCCAAAGCCTCACCAGCCCCTAGGCCTGTGGCCAACACCAAGGAGGCCACAAACACAACCCGGCGGCCAAACCTGGTGGGCAGTTGGGGACACACACGGATGCAGGTCAGGACAGCTTAGGGGTTTAACTGGACCCTCAGGGGCTCAAGGGGATGGGGCAGCACCTCACCGGTCACAGCCCATGCCCAGGATGACACAGCCCAACAGCCAGCCCAGGAGGTGGCTCGTCTGCTCCAATGGCACCTTCCAGCCGTTCTCACACACGAGGTTCCACTGCAGGGGACACCCATCACCTGTCAGCCATCCATGACCCTCCACCTTGCTAGAGTCCCCAGAATGTCAGGCTGGAAGGGAGCCTTAGACATCCTGCTCCAATCCTCCCTAGATAGAAGGAGAAACTGAGGCACAGAGAGGGCAAGGGACCTGTTCAAAGTCACACAGTGTGGTCTCCTCACCCTGGTGGGCTTCACATGGAATTGGAAAAATTCCTGGTCTGAGCCTCCAGGGGGTAATGACCTGGGGTTCCCAGAGTACCCACTTGGAGTCCCAAGTCTGGTTTCTGTTTTCTCTGGAGTTTCATCCACCTCTTTCCAGCTCTCTCTCCCCCAGAGCCTGGATCTTGGTTGACCTTAGTTTCTACCTGCTGTGCCCAGGGCCCCAGGCCTCACCCTCACTTCTCCCCTGCCCTGCTCACCTCAAGAGCAACTCCTGGAACAGCCTGCAGGGCTGTGTTCACCTGCTTTTCCTGGTCAAGGGCCCTTGACCTCAGTTTTGCACCTCCCCACCTCCAGTTCCAAGGTCCTGTGCCTTTTTTACAAGCTTAACATACTGTTTGGGGTCACAGTATGTCAGAGTTTTTATTTTAAAATCTAACCACTTGTGAAAGCTGGTGGGGAGCTAATCGATCGGTACACCTGCGGGAGGGCAGGTGTGAGGTGGAACAGAATGAGTGGGTGAAGAGAAGCCCTGGGGTTGGAGGGCTAAAGGCAGGCCTGGCAGGGATGTGGCAACCTCGTCCCAGTTTCCACACTGGGGCGACCCTCCCAGGGGTGGAGGTGCAGCTGTGGGACTGAGGCTGCCAAAGGGAAGCAGGGATGGGCAGGCCCTAGCCTGAGGGTGGGACAGAAGGTACCAGCTGCCACCTCCTCATTTCTTCCACCGAGACCCCTGAGTTGCCCCCTTCGGTGCCCCTGCTCTAGTCCAACCTGCACACACCTCACAGGTGAGAGGTCTGTCTTTCCCAAACTGAACTGACTAAATTGCTCCCTTGATTCAAAGCCTTCTGATGTGGAAACCCAGTCTCGACATAGCCCAAAGCTACAGGTTGCTCAAAATGTTCGAGGCACTGAAGTGAACTCCTTGCGCCTACCTGGTCATACCTTCAACTTAACTCCTCCTCCTCCTCCCCCAGGCTGCCTGCCCACCTTGGCAGCCCTCGGGCCTCAGACTCTGCCACTAGACCTGGCAACCTGTTGACTTGGGCATCAGCTGCACCATCAGAGAGGAAGGGGCAGCGTCCCCAAATGAGAGCCTCCGTAGACCAAGGGCAGAAGGGCAAGGGGATGGGGGTGGGGGGGAGACAGAGAAAAGGGAGAGCAGAGGAAGGGGGGCAGAGGAAAGTGGGAGAAAGAAGGGGGAACAGAGAAGGGGGACAGAGGAAGGGGGAGAAAGGAGAACAGAGGAGGGGGAGAAAGAGGAGTAACAGAGGGGGGGTCAGAGATGGAAAAAGGGGGAGAAAGGAGGGGAAACAGGAAAGGAGACACAGGAAGGGGGACAGAGGAAGGGGAAAGGAGAAATGGGGGAAGATGGACAGGGGGACAGAGGAATGGGATACAGAACAAGGGGGGTATGAAAGGCCGGAGCGGAGGTGGGGGGGAAGGG